CCTGGTCTACATGCAGAGTTCCAGGATAGTCAAGCTACACAGAAAGACTGTTTCAAAATAATAATAATATGAAAGATAAGAATAGATCTTTAAAAAAGACAATAAATAGCTGGTGGTTACTCACTGGTAACTCCAGTCTTTGGGAAACTGAGCAGGAAAGATCATGAGTTCCAGGCCAGCCTGGGCTATATAAGGAGACTCTATCCCAAAAAGATGAGTAAAGGTAGCAATAGTAATTACCCTCTCACTGGTAGCATGTGGTAAAAGTGACTGGTTTCTGAAAGAAGACAAGAAACTGGCCCTATCAGTCTGCTGTGCTAGCTCACACCTGTAATCTCAAACTGAGACAGGAGGATTGCCATGAGTTGTTCAAGGTCAAATTGGACTATAATGTGAGACTCTCATCTCATTAGAAGGATGGATGGATGGATAGATACATAGATAGATAAACAGATACCCATCTTCAGTACCCACCTCCATTATGGAACCCTAAGCTGGTCCCCTAGTACCGCACAGCCATCACAAAACCTGCAGATAACTGTGGAACTACTGTTCTTCTATAGACAGACCAGATGGGCAGGGTATCTAGCCTAGAACACAGGTGGAGACGTCTGTACACATCCTAGTACATATCCAGGAGACAAAGCCACAGTAGCAGGTACATGATCAGGCCCAGAGAGATAAGTCAGCCGCAGAGGGGTAGCAGCTAAGCAGACAGACTGGGAGTAGTTGTTCTCCCTCCACCACCACAACAGACCAGAGAAGATGGTAAATGGATACCTGACCTTGGGGGCAAAGACAACAGCAGGACTAAACATTCCTGGGTCACTGAACCTAAATGTAGAGACCCAAAGCTCAGGAAGAGATAGAGTTGCAGTTGTGGAGGATGGCAAGTAGAGGGGTGGACTCATGTCCTGAATCCTAATCCAGGCATGAGATCTGCCTAGTAGTTAACCATTCCCATTTTACAGGTAAGAATATGGTGGCTTACCAAGGCCTGAGTCACTAGTGATTGAGTCTAAATCTCATTACATCACACAGTGACCCCTGGGCAGAGGTGAAACTCTTAGTTGCTGTTTGTTTGTTTCTCAATGGATATGCAGTGTTAGCTGCTCTTACTTTCAGAACTGTTCCCACAGGGAAGGATCGCGTGTGTCAATAGCCTATCTGGGATTAGATGTGGTTTGTGAGACTTGGTCCTTGGTGTGGTGTTGTTGAGGTTTATTAGCACTTTAAAATCCAGGCATGGTGATTAAAAACACAGGTTGCTCTTGCAGAGGACCTTGGTTTAATTCCCAATACCCATGTGGTGTCTCACAACCATCCACAACTCCAATTCCAGGAGATCCAAAGCCCCCTCAGACTTCCAAGAACACCAGACACTCAGGTAATAAGCATGCATACACACAGACAAAACATTCATACTCAGAGATACAACTTTTTAAATTGCAGAGCAGAAGGCTGAGTGAGGATGCAGGTCAGTGGACAGGAGCTATCTGTTTAGCACACCCAAAGCCTAGGTCTAATCCCCAGAATTGCATAAATCAGATAGGGTGGCACATGCCTGTAATCCCAGAATTTAGGAGGTATAGTCCGAAAGATCAGAAATTCAATGTCACCTTCAGCTACACATGAAGTTGGAGGCCAACCTGGGCTACATGAGACCTTGAGAAAAGAGGTCCTTAGATCACAGAGAGTGCAGCCTTCTGAAGGTATTCACATTTTTGTCCAGGAGCCCATGAATTTGTACACCCAAGAGAACTGTTGTAAAAACAGTTAGAACTGTTTCCGCTCACTCCAGAAGTCCTATCTGGCTCCGTGATTCCTCTAACCCGCACTGGATCCTGGTATGCTAATGGTTTCCTATGAGGACCCTCAACAGATGCCATGCCCTCTGTGCAGCCTGTATCTGAGAATGTGCGGAGGGTGTCAGGATTGATGACACAGAGACCCGAAGGCTCCTCAAGAAGGCTCTCCTTTATTCCTACTCTGGCTGGTTATTATATACCCTGACACCAGAGGCGGTTGGGTGGGTCAGAAGAGGTGGTTAGTCTTTGGAAAAGGTCAAGGACAGGGCAGTTCCCGTGAGCAAACCCTTTTCAGGAACTTATTGCCCGGGCATTGTATTGTTTTTAGTAAACATTGTCTTACAGCTGCCTGGTCCCAGGCTGGTGGGTCTCTGGCCAAGGTCTGTTGTCCCCACAAACAGACTGAACTGATACCAACACAATAGTCATAAACTTTTGTTTCAAAGATCATGGGCTTTGGGTATTTCATGATTATAACAACAGGTGCTTGGAAGTTCTCTGACATCAGTGATGAGGATCCTGCCTGGTCTACCTCCATCTCTTCAACAAACTTGGCATATCTTTGTTAAATTTACATATAAGTCTGCAAAGTTACCTGGTAGGTCTATAGCAGCAGACAGAGCAGACCAGACCAGACCAGACTTCTGTCCTCGAAAAGGTTCATAGTCCTGTGCCAGCTTGATGGCTCAGCAAAGCAAGGCACTTGCTACCAAGTCTAACAACTTGAGTTCAATCCCAGGGATCCACATGATGTAAAGAAAGAACTGATTCCTGCAAGTTGTCTTCTGACCTCTACACACACACACACACACACACACACACACACACACATACACACACTTTTTTTTTTTTGGTTTTTTTCAAGACAGGGTTTCTCTGTATTGTTTTGGAGAAACTGGCCTCCAACTCACAGAGATCTGCCTGCCTCTGCCTCCCCAGTGCTGGGATTAAAGGCGTGCGCCACCAACGCCTGGCATGCACACACACTTTTAAGAGGGTCATGATCCTAACAGGAAGCCGAGGAAGTAGAGTGAGGAATCCTGTAGAATGCCCACAAGCCTTGAGAGTACAATGGAGGAAAGTCTCAAGGTAAAAAAGGAATCCTACGGTGTTCCTTACCAGCAGCTAGAAAACTTCTGGAAGATAATCTGAGCTGAGTCAACAAGCAGAAGCAGATCACTAGTGGGAGGGAGAAGGGAGTGCAAATGAGCAGAGGAAACAGATAGTGCAAGGCTGAGGTATGGCACTTTCCAGGAGAAGCAGTCACTAGTGGGAGGGAGGAGAGGAAACAGATTGTGCAAGGCTGAGGTATGGCACTTTCCAGGAACTGCCTCCCAATTCAGTCCTGGGCCTTCTGGTAGACCAAGTGAGCAGGGGTCAGATCTGGAGGCTTTGGAGATGCTAGGAACACATTTGCATTTCAGAGAGTATCCTAGTTGAACAGTGGACAACCAAGCAAAAGGAGAGCAGAAAAACCAGTCAGGTCACTGTAGAGTCCCAAGGAACGACCAGGAAAGGGCTGGGGTTTGGCCTTGGCCCTGGAGATGGAGCCTGGGAACCAGAGGCTACAGCTATAAAGGGAGCAAGTTCTTCAGGACACGGAACATGGACTAAGAGGGCATGAAGACATCGTACCCCCGTTCTTTGTGGCCACCTGGTCTAATGTATGTCATCTTCTGTCCTAAGAACTCTTGTGGGACATTTTATATCACTTGAAAGCTTTGGCTCTTACTTTGACCTGTTTGTACAGAAAGATTTTGTTTCCCCTGTATGACTTTTGCTTTTATCTTGGTTTTTTGTTTTGGTTGGATTTTGAGACAGTGTCTCATGTAGCCCAGGATGTCTCAAACTGGCTGTCTTAGAATTCCTATTGTTATGATAAAACCAACCTGGGAACAAAAGGGCTTATTACAGCTTATATGTCCAGTCACTGTCCATCACGGAGGGAAGTCATGGCAGGAACTCAGGGAGGAGCTGAAGCAGAAGCCGTGGAGTGCTGCTTGCTGACTTGCTCCCACATAGCTTTCTCGGGTTGCTTTTTAAAACACCTCAGAACCACTTGCCCACGGGTGGGTGGGCCTTCTTGCATCAATCACAAAATAAGAAAATGTTCCACAGGCTTGCCCAGACCAATGTCATGGAGGCATTTTTCTCAATTAAGATGTCCTCTTCCCAGTTATATCTAGGAATATATGGTGGAGTTGGTTCTCTCCTTGTACCACATGGGACCCAGGGATCAAACTCAAGTCACCAGGTTTGGTAGCAGGCACCTTTATCTGCTGAGCCATTTAAAGGGGTGAAATGTGAGGATGGGGTGGACATTCATGTGCTAAGGCATGCATGTAGAATCCAGAGGACAACCTGAAGGAGGTGTTTCTCTCCCTCTACCCTGTAGGGCTGGGTATCGAACTCAAAGTGCTCAGGCTTAGTGTTTTAAACACTCTTAGTGTTTTAAAGAAAACTTCAGGTTTACAGAGAAACTGAGCAAAAAAAAATTATTCAAATCTCATATATCTCTCCATCTTTGGCCCTGACTACCTGTCACTTTCTCTAATTGGTGTGAAATATTTGTTCAATTTGATGTGCCAAGGTACAAGGTATTATTAAAGCCATACCCTAGTAAGGGTTTCAAGGAATCTGCAAGCAAAAGAACAAAACTTGCTGTTTTCCGAGCAGCTGAAAGCAGTCTCACTGGTGAGGAGAGCAGGTGACAATGTCAGTGTGACTGTCATGAGTGGGGACCCACCATCCCGGTCCTACTTTTGTTTTTTTGTTGTTTGATTTCTTAAAATAAGATCTCATGTGGCTCAGCCTGACCTCAGACTCAGTCTATAGCCAAGGATGACCATGACCTTGAATTCTGCATCTGTCTCCTGAGTGCTGGACTTCCAGGAATACACTACCGTGTTTGGTCGTATGTGGTTCTTGGACTGAACTCATGGCTTCATGCAGGCTAGGCAAGTACTCTTCCAACTGAGCCACATCCAGCCCTGGCCCCACTCACCCTGTTCCTATTTCTACCCATATCTTTAGGAACTCAGTGGCAACAGAAGCCCAAGGCTGAACTGACCCCGCTGAAAGAAAACACGTTTTTCCTTCCCCTCATTCAAAAAAGACCAATGGCACACTGGCACACTGGTGTGAAGGCAAAGATCATTTGCACATTTTATTTAAAAGGAAACAGCTGTAAGATAGAAGGGCAGATGTTTTCTTTATTGTAAAGACAGCAGTTACAAAAGAGAAGTAATAAATATGACATTGGGAATTTTGTTAAAAAATACAACCCCCTGGTATTTGTGAGAAATCCCAAGAACTCACAAGATACAAAAATCTGTCCCACAGGTGACAGTACCTTTGCCTCAGCTCCATGGAGCTGGTGTCAGACACCAGAGGATGGTCATGACTTCTGGGATTTCAAAAGATCTTGCTGTGTCACTTGAGAATTTCAGGGGTCCATTCTGATTTGCATGGAGTCAGGTGACAGATATCCTTCTGCCCATTAATATTACTTCCAACAATTCTTTCATTCTTATAGTAAAGGGCTTAGAGTGGGAAAATGGCCGAGATGGGAAGAAAAGGATGAGGGGAACGACAAGGTAGGTACTGTTCAGGGCCAGGAGACAGGCAATATGATAGCAAGCTAGTCCCCAGTTGGAGAGGGGATAGGTAATGATCCACAAGTCCTTCAAATCCCACCATAACACTAGGATGGAGAGTGGTGAAAAAGAAGTCAACGGAATCTGAGCAGTGACAAGAAGAGATGGTAACCAGGAAACAATGCAGGATGACAGGGGAGACCCATCCGAGACATGGGCGACATGTCCTCTGAGGACCATAGATGAACAGGACTCGTTGACAGAGAACCGTGCAGGGACAAGGGTGGTTTCCTAGAAGAAATAAGTCTCCACTACAGATAACAGCAGAGGAGTGCAGGCAGGAAAGGTCAACTGGCAAGCCTTTTGGAGGAGGCCAAGACCCTGGGAAGGATGAAAGCAGTCTCCGAGTATCCAGAGGCACTAAGGTGTGGAGGGGGAGGTCATTAAGGCAGAGGGCAGCGGGGGTAAAAATGTGAACATTGTGGTCATCTCCTCCAGGGTGTAAGGCACAGCTGTGCTCATGGGTCAGGTCAGCGGGACTATGCGCTGAAAGCAGCCTTGAGCTCCCGGAAGGCTGCCTGGCGGAGCCTCCTGGCCTCCTCCTGCCGTTTCCGCTCATCTTGCTCAGCTTTTAACTCTGCTTCAAATTTACTGGAGCATGACAAAGCCTGGGCCTGCAGAGAAATAGCAAACAGATGACACAGTAAGGGCAGGGAAGGGAATGGGGATGCTGGCACCCAAGTCTTTTTTTTTTTTTTTTTTTGTCTTTTTGGTTTTTTCAGACAGGGCTTCTCTGTGGCTTTGGAGGCTCTCCTGGAACTAGCTCTTGTAGACCAGGCTGGCCTCAAACTCACAAAGATCTGCCTGCCTCTGCCTCCCGAGTGCTGGGATTAAAGGTGTGCGCCAAACGCCCTGCGGCACCCAAGTCTTTGCAGTGGACTTGCAAACTCTGAACAAATGGAGCTGTCACTGCCCATGGCATGTGCTCCAATGACTCCTCTTCCTTTGGTCCAGGTGAGTGGGGGTACCATTGCTTTACTGGTAACTGGTTTTTACTTGCTTCTATCTCCTGGGTTTGCTAGTTCTCGATTCTTTTTCAGGGTACTAGTGAGTGCCCACTATTTCATGTTGGTAGGCCAGCTGTCCTGTGACGCCACTTCCCCAAACTCTTGCCCACATTTACATTCCTTTGATTTCACAACACTATCACTACATTCTGGTGGACCAGTCCTGAACCAGGGTCAGCGCTACTCTCAGACCTCAGCGGAGAAGGTTCTTTGTGCATCAGCTAGAGGGCAGTAGACAAAGAAACTCAGCACCAGTTGAGGTGCAGAGAATAATCGACTATGGAGTACTCAGGCACCAATGGGCACCTATATCATACTCTCTCACCAAGCCTCAGGGAGAATCATTGAAGAGTGGGTAGAAACTCTAAAAGCTAGAGGTCAGGGGTGGGGATGGGCTGAGGTGGGAGGGGGAGGGGGTGAGGGGTGCCCCAGCTGAGTGATAGCTGCACTCATGAACTCACAGCAGCTGTGGCTGCCTGCATGAGACTTGCACACGATCAAGCCAGTCACCATTCCTAGCATAGAGTATAGTAGGAATGGGGTTCAGGAGGCCCCATCCTTGAAGATGTACAGGCAGCTGATGGCTTCTGGGACAGAGAGTGAGTTTTAAGAGTGTGACTCCTGGTAGGCCGAACATGCTTCAGTGGATGGCCCCACACCCAAAGGTGTATGGTTAGCAAAAAAAATGGAGTTAATTGGTTTTTGTTTGCTTGTTTTAGGTTTTTTTTTTTTTTGGTTTTTCGAGACAGGGTTTCTCTGTATTGTTTTGGAGGCTGTCCTGGAACTCACTCGGTAGACCAGGCTGGCCTCCAACTCACAGAGATCCGCCTGCCTCTGCCTCCCCAGTGCTGGGATTAAAGGCTTGCGCCACCAACACCCGGCCTTGTTTTAGTTTTTGACACAAGATTTCTCTGTATAACCCTGGCTGTCTTGGAACTCACTCTGTAGACCAGGCTGGCCTCCAAGTCACTGAGATCCACCTGCCTCTGCCTCCACTGCTGTGATTAAAGTTGTGGGCCGCCACCACCCAGCATTTTTTTTTTTAGGGATGCAAGTTGTGGGGTGGAGGGAAGAGATGGATTTGGGAAGAATTAAAGAAGGAGCTGGAGCAAAAATATAAATTATCAAAGAATAAAAATGTTTTTTAAAACATTACAACATTCTAGGTGGAAGATCTCTGGTTGGGTTTGCGTCTGATGATGGGCTGCAAGGGGAAATCTTTATAATAGCTTTCTGGATGAGGTGGATGCTGGGAGGCAAACTTGGGTCCTCCGGAAGAACAGGACATACTCGTTCTCTCTAGCCCCAATACAGCCCAGAGGCAGGTGGATCTCTGTGAGTTCAAGACCAGTCTGGTCTACAAGAGTTAGTTCCAGGACAGCCTCCAAAGTCACAGAGAAACCCTATCTTGAGAAAACAGAAAACAAACAAACAAAACCTTATTTGGTACCACCTCTCAACGGCACACTGTGTATGTGATTTCATCAAAGACTGTGATACAGCCCTTGAAGGCAGCTGTTCCAGATTGCACCCCCACCATCATGGACCAGAAGCACTCCCACATACACTTGGCCAAAGCTTGCCATCATCATCCTCGGTTTCTTGCCCATTTGATAGTCAAATATTGTCTTCTCTCATCTCTTCCCTGGAGAGTTACCTACTCTTGCTGTTGATATTTCCATTGTCTCTTCCTAGTTTGGCAGGTGTTTTACAGTATATCTCAAGCCTCCACAGTGCTTAAAATCTTGATGTCATTTATCAACCATTTACTCTTGCCTTTTATGTCATGTGTGTACATGTGACGGTACACATACATGCAGAGACCAGAGGACAACTTTGACTGTAGTTCCTCAGGTGTCCACCTTGTTTTAGGCTGGAGCTCACTAAGTACTCTGGGCTGGCTGTCTTGGGAGCCCCAAGGATCCAAATACATCACCATGCCTAGCTTCTATTTCAAGTAGGTTCAGGGGATTGAATTCATGTCATCATTCTTGCAAGGCAAGTGCTTTGCCAACTATCTCTCCAGGCCTATGTACCATTTTATATGGGATCTGGGGGATAGAGCAGAGGCAGGTGCTTGAGCATATAAAAATGTTCACATCTGAGGTTTCTGGAACCAACTCCTCCATGTACACAAAAGGCCAGCTGCACCTTCAACTCTGCCTGGCACAAGGTTCACATTTGCCCATCCCTCTCAATAAGGCCCACCCTCACTGCCATGATTTAGTATGCATGCTGAGGACACACTTTTTAATAAATAATAAATGAAAGAAATCTCTTCCACCTGGAGAGAAGATTCAGTGGCTAGGAACACTTGTAGAGGACCAAGGTTCAGTTCCCAGAATTCACCTGACAGCTAACAACTCTCAGAATTTCCAGTTCCAAGGATTCTGGAACCCTCTTCTGGCCTCTACAGGTACATGGTGCACACACACACACACACACACACACACACATATGCAGAGAAAACACTCATACACATAAAAACAAATAAATCTTTCAAAAACCAATCATAAGAATAGTGGCTAAGCTGGGCAGTGGTGGTGCATACCTTTAGTCCTAGCACTCAGGAGGCAGAGGCAGGTGGATCTGAGTTGGAGGCCAGCCTGTGCTACAGAATGAGTTCCAAAATAGCCCAGGCTGTTACACAGAGAAACCTTGTCTTGACCCACCCCACTCCAATCTCCCCCACTCCTCCATGCCCCACACCCCCCAAAAAAGAATAGTGGCTAGATCCACTGTGACTTGGAATTTGGGGATTTCTGGACAGAGCTGGGTCTTCAATGGCCTTCTTCCCAATCTATCTCCTCACAGTGGTCCCTGATCCCTCCCATTACTCCCTCTTTCAACTGGAAGGAAACAGAGATTCTACTACCTTTAAGTATGCTGGAGCTGGCTTGTAACTGCTCAAAAACCAACTGCCTCGTTCCTGGAATGTCTGTGAGCTGTTTATAAAATTAGTCATTACAAAATTTTAAATCATCCGGGCGTTAGTGGTGCACACCTTTAATCCCAGCACTTGGGAGTCAGAGGCAGGTGAATCTCTGTGAGTTCAAGGCCAGCCTGGTCTACAGAAGAGTTCAAGAGCAGGCTCCAAAGCAATACAGAGAAACCCTGTCTCGAAAAACCAAAAAAATTTTTTTAATTGTATGAATCTACAGTCAACTGCACCAAAAGCAAAAGGATTGAGTACTGAAGGACCATCACATTCTGATGATCTCAGCACATTTTATTTTATCTGCTAGGGCTGTGCCCCCAGCATGGAAGTATTGAGTGATGACATGATGACTGTGAACAGCTTTTCTGTTCCACATGCGTCCACATTCCATTGAGAGTTTGAACTCTGCCTCGGTGTGAATATTTATACCTCAGGAAACGCCAACGTGACACATTTGACCTTCGTTGTCTCTGTTAAAAATGCAGGTGAAGCTTAAAAATTTGTTGTCTGTTGCCTTTGCATTATGAGGGGATGACCTTTTGGTACTTGGAATCATCCATAAGAAATTGCTCAGCACATCAAGAAATGAAGTAGTTTTTTTCCTCTTCCTCTCCTCTCTCTCGTGTGTGTGTTTCTCTGCCTGTGTGTGCCTCTCTATATCTGTCTCTCTCTGTTGGCGGTGCCTGTGTGTGGAGGTCAGAGGGCAGCCTCAAGTGTTGGCCTTCACCCTCACTTTGTTTGAGACAAGGTTTCTTTCTTGCTCATCTCTCTGTATTCAGACTAGCTGATTTGCTAGCCTCTGGGGTGGGGGTTGCTTCTTTCCACCTCCCTTCTTGGCACAAGAGCACAAGAGAACTGGGGTTATAGATGTGCTCACATGCCCAGCTTCACAAGGGCTCTGGGGATCTGAACTCTGCCCCTCCTGCAGCAAACACGTTAACCACTGGGTCATCTTGAAGTCCCCACCCAACCAGGGTAAAAGGTCCAAGGCTCACTTCCTGGTTTGGAAACCCACCATCTGCCAGGTAACAGTAGCACACACCTTTAATCCCAGTACTCAGGAGGCAGAGGCAGGCAGATCTGTGAGTTCAAGGCCAGCCTGGTCTTCAGGGCAAATTCCAGGACAGCCAGGGCTACACAAAGAAATCCTGTCTTGAAAAACAAACAAAAACCCAATCCCTGAGCTCAAAAACTCATCAATCTCTGGATTTGCTCCAAGCTCAGGACTTGAAATCCCACTAATCTCCACCCTGGAAACTCCCTCTACTCTTATCACACCAAGAAACCCTATATAAACCTGTCTCCTGTTCAGTTCCCAGTTGCTTCTCACCCAAGCCACCCTCTTGTGTGAGGTCTGTTATGCAGTGTGGCTTTGTGGTATTCCTTGGCTCCTGACTGCCAGGATACCTTCCCCTCACAGCTGTGACACTTCCATGTGGAAAACTTCTCTCTCAGAACTATAACACTTCCCCTGGGGAAATCTTTCCCCTCACAGCCACAACATTTAAATGCAGGATGCCTTTCCTCTCAGAGCTCTAACACTTACCCCACCCTCCCAACTTGAGACACAGTCTCACTACATAGCTCTGGAAATCCCGATACTAGCTTTGTAGCTCAGGCTAGCCTCAAACTTGCAGCAAGCCTCCTACCTCAGCTCCTCAAGGACTGG